TCTAGTATTTTTTCCAAATAACACAAATATATGTCACATATGAGTAGTCTTTCTTACCTTTTCTTGCTATCCTCTATTTTCAAGCTCACCTATTTTTCTGGTGTGCCCTAAAAGGGACACACAGTCTAATACATAGTAATTTTCATTGTGAAAAAGAAAACACATATTTTTTCAAAATTGAATTATTGTGCAAGTAGTAGCAGAAAAACATTATTGAACTCCTGGTCTCTGCAGTGCCAGACTTGCTTTCATAAACCAGCAAATATCACATTCCCTGGTGAAGAGAGGCTCACAGTTACAAACTAAGTGTTATTTATTAGAAATTAGAGTATTTTACATCACTAATATTATTGGTACAAAAACTGCATTTGCAAGTGACTGCTAAAAAACAGAATCTGAAGAAAATCTGCAGGATTGTTCAAAAAGTGATTAGAAAAGGTTTATCAACAAGCCTGACTGATGTTACCTGGATTAGCTTCTGTCTTTTCAGCAAAGCTTTTACCTCTGAAAAGAAGAAAAAATCCCAATGTCCTTTCTATGTCAGATCAGTTCAAGTGTTCCTGGGATAACAGGACTGTCTGCTATGGCTGATTTTCAGAGCCTCATGCTTGAATTAGTCTTTTAGAACAGCAAGCATAAACATCTTGCACTGTGAAAAAAATCTTCCAAGTGAAAACATCAAAGCAGCCTACAATTATGAACCAGCTCAGCTAAAGCTTGTTCCTGTAAATTTGTCTTGCTGTTTCTTAAAGTACAGTAAGCTCACAGAGAGGTATTACAGTTGTGATGATCCTTAGAGAATAAGAATTTTGCTAAGCTGTTTCCTGGAAAGCAAGTAAACTGACAGGCAATTTTAATTCTCCTTGAGCAGAGCTTTACAACTGGATTTGGTTTTATTATGAATTGAAATTCTTTTTGCAGAGGTAAATGTTTATTTAGCTAGCTGGAGATATCAAGCGGGTCCAGTATGAGGCTGGAAAAGAAGCAGCAAAATAATATTTTGTATGTTTTTACTTTACATTCCTTTATTTCCTTTAGCAACACCATGTTCTGAAGACATTTGGATAGAAACTGAGGAATCATTTCCTTTTCATCTCTCCTCTCCATTGGCCAAAGCAACCAACTGTTACCTCTCAAAAGACAGAAAGGGACCTGAAGGCTGAGGAACAGAGAAGCCATTAAGGCAGAGATAAAACAATTTAAAATGTCCCTTATTGGTTTTATCATTCTAAGGCTGGTACATGCTCTGAATGTGCTGGATCCCTGCCCTCCCGACAGATGGAAAGGCTCCTGACAATGTTAGGAACAATGTTCTCTTCATAAGAGCAAATTGTTTTGAGATCCTGGTACTAACATAGTGGTTAAAGAAGTGATCTTGTATGTGACCTCACCAGAAGAGACAGGAAAAAAGGTACAAATGCAACTGTGAGGTACACAATTGATAAACCTCCCATTTCCCCTCCTGTCCAGCTTCCATTTCTCCTGCTAAATCACTTCTCCTCCTTGCTGCCGCCTCAAACTCCTCTTCACACTCTTCCCTATTCTTCTACATCCCATTTCCCTGTCTAACCCCCTTGGCCCTATCACACACATAAACTGTACTATCAAACTTGCACTAGCCAAGAAAAGGAAATGGATCCCCAGTTTCTACCCAAATTCTCTCAGGATACACTGCAGTAGACTGTCCTACCACGGACACCACCAGAAGAGTATCTGTGGTCCAGCACTCACATTCCCTAGATGAATGTTAAAAAGAAGCTGCAGGAAATTAGAAAAAATACATTTACTTGATGTGAAAAGCTGATGTAGAAAGGACTCTTTGACTAGAGGCACACTGATGTATTATTTGTGAAATATGATTACATCTGCCTTTTATCTTTCATCTTGTTACTCAGTGATAATTGACTGCTCAAGGCTGGCACTCATTTTTAATTATCCCCTCGGTGGAAACCCAGCAACACGCTCTGCAATTGCTCTCACATATCTGCATGCAGCATCTGTAACACATCATCCTTCAGCTAACAACAAGCCCTCTTCTTTTTCTTTACTTCTTTTTTTCCCCCTCTAAATTAGCTGTACAGATTAGTGCATGGTATTTCTCAAAAAAAAAAGGAAAAAAAGGAGAATATCAGTGAATCAGTGAACACAGACTACACTGAATGTTTCACCATTCATTAAAATAACTCATATTTGAGGTCTGCCCTGTTGCTGTGTCTCGGAGATTTCCATCTACTTATATAGCTAATTAATTTTATAGTATTAAGCATTTAGTAACTTCTTGAGTGCTGTGTCCACACAGCTGCCAGGCACAAGCTGAAATAACCATCCCTAGGTCACCTCACAGCAGGAATTCTGTCAGAGCTTCACTGTACGAATAAATACGTAAGGAGCTCCACTCAGTGGCGAGACAATGTATTTCCAACTCTGACACATTCAAGAGGAGAGAGGAGTCTTTGGAAGTGTAAATATATATAATTAACACATCTATTTAATTGACTCTCTGCATTATTCATTGTAATCATAGCAGTAGCATCATAACATTTTCCTAAGACAGCTTTATTGTCAGCAACATTTCTGACAGAATTCAATCACTGGAACATGATACACAGTTGCCATTTTAAAACAATAAAACTCAGTAATATCTCATATTTATTTTTTATTTTAAGTTTGATAAACTTCCATTTGTGGGTAATAACTTTTTTTCATCTTCCCTTCTTTTTCTTGTACCATGTCTAGATTTTCTTGAAAAACTGAAGCCTATTTCACAGTTCCTAAAAAAATGGAAGCCTATTTCACAGTTCCTCCTCTATTAAAAAAGTAGCTACAGAGGGTTGTGCCCTCTGAGAGCACAGAATTAGTTTTATTTTTTAAGAATTTTATTTTTAAGCAAACATATTCAGACTGTGGGGAATAAACTATTTAAGTGGAGGTGCTACCAGGTAGAAAGTCCTGGTAAAAACAGTCTGATTGAATGCTGAGTTAGGCTTAGCACCAGCTTTGGAGATGTTAAGAAAAAATGTAGACAGGTTTATTTTCAGAATTAATTCCATATGCTCTTAGTCATATTTTCCAATACCCTGTAGTTCTGCTTGGCCTAGTGGGATGTCTAGATTTTATAGGTTTCCCGTGTCCATAATTTTTCTCCTTTTCTGATTTTCAGCTATTTACTGGCAAATTTGAAATACTTTTGCCTTTCTCTGCCTGTTATGGATTTTGTGCCTTCCTAAGTGGATGTCATAAGCTTTGTGCAGGTGGAAAATCATGCTCCATTTAAGAGAAGACAAAATCAATCAAAGCTATGAAATCATTAAAAGTAAACTTCCCCGAACACAATCTCCCCATTATTTCTGTTTCTCAACCTTGAATTCTAAGCAGGTAATTTAAACTTCATACAAAGTTTTTCTTTATAGTGTCCCTTAGGATCTTTTTTTTTTTTTTTCCCACTGAAAAAGTTCACAACACCAGTTACCAGGAGAGTTTTAAAAAATGTAAACCTAAACAGCATTTCTAGCAAGGAGGCTATGCTTAGGTAAGATTTTGAATAATGTAAATGTAGAAGCAATAAAATTTTGTTTGGAAAAAATCCAGAAAATCTTAAAGACACTGGAAAGGTCCACATGCCAACATGTGTCTCTGAATCTGATCTACAATACAGTGTCAGTATGCCTGAAAATGAGTCATGAAGTTACAAAACCTTTAGGAGTTACTTCTGAGAAACCTGGGGTGAAAAATAAAATACCAGAAGAATGTGAAATATGGTGCCTATATTTTAAATAAAAAAGCTGTAGAAGTCTGCCGTTAGCTCCAGCTTCAATTTTTGTTAATGATTTAAATACTTTTCCCAGTTGTAAGGCTTAAGAGAAAAAGATGATTAAAAGATGATCCTGCCAATCATTCTGATTCCAGGTTAGGAGAAACACCACTCCCCTCATTTCTGAGTAAGGGCAGTGACACATTTCCAAGTGCCATCCTCAGACACTTCTGAGGGCAAGTCCACACAGCACCATCAGCTTGTCTTTGGCATGAAAATGCCCAAACAGGCAGGTGTTGCTATCTCTGAAATTCCTACAGCCTTCAGGGCTTTCCCATCGCCTTCCCGGCTGGAAAGGCTGATCAGTGAGGGGAGCTGGCCCTGCAGAAAGGGCTGCTTTTTGGCAGGAGTCACTTGCTGCTGGTTTAGGGGCGAGCAGGGCACTGAGGGACCATGGCCACCTCTAGATGGATGGAACGGTGAGGAGGTCTCTGTTCCCTCAGGGAATGAGAGGAAGGGCCAGTTCTGTTCAATATATTTATTGATGACACGGATGAGGGGATTGAGTCTTTCATCAGTAAGTTTGCAGATGACACTAAGCTGGGATCGTGTGTCCATCTGTTGAAAGGTAGGAGGGCTCTGCAGAGAGAACAGTTCTCTCTGGATGGGCAGAGTCTAAAGTTTAATGAATGAAGTTTAATAAATCCAAGTGCCTAGTCCTGCATTTTGGCCACAATAACCCCCTGCAATGCTTTGGGCTGGGGACGGTGTGGCTGGACAGCGGCCAGGCAGAAAGGGACCTGGGGGTGCTGGTCGATAGCCAGCTGGACATGAGCCAGCAGTGCCCAGGTGGCCAAGAAGCGGGATGGCAGACGGGGATGTGGACATTATTCCCTGAAAGAGCGGGATGAGGGGACTAACGGGACAGCGAGGAGCTCGCTAATTCCCTCGTGGAGCGGGATGAGGGATGAACGGGACGGAGATGAGCTCGTTGCTCCCTCACGGAGCGGGACGAGGGATGCAGAGGACGGCGAGGAGCTCGCTGTTCCCTTAGGGAACGGGACGAGGGATGCACGGCTCCCTCACGGAGCGGGATGAAGGATGAACGGGACATGGGTGAGCTCGCTGTTCCCTCACGGAGCGGGATAAGGAACGATCACACCAGAGGGGCAACTCGGGCCCGTCCCCCTATCGGGGCGGTGCTGCTGCGGCCGCGCCCCCGCCCGTGACGCGCGTCCGCCGGGAAGCGCTTCCTGCCCGTCACTTCCCCCACTGCCGCCGCCGCCGCTCCCGCCGGGCCGCCGGACTCGTGCCCCTGCCCAGGCCCCTGCTACCGCCGCCGCCATGGCCATGAGGCAGACCCCGCTCACCTGCTCCGGCCACACGCGGCCCGTGGTGGACCTGGCCTTCAGCGGCGTCACCCCCTACGGATATTTCCTCATCAGCGCCTGCAAGGGTGAGCGGGACGGGCCGCTTTGTTCGGGATCCCCCGCCCCGGGGGTGGGCGCGGGGCAGCCCCGGCACTCGTAGGCCGCGCATCGCCGAGCCGGGGGGTGCCGGTGGGGCGGGTGGGGGGTCCGAGGGTGTCCTGGCCACTCGGGGCGGTGACACCGCCTCGGTGTGCTCTGGAATGGCGAAGGGAGCGGACAGCCGGCTCTCTCCGGGTGCTTCATTGCCGGGTTAGCCCGGGGGTGTCGGTGCCCGCATGCGCCCGGTCGGGATCCCGGCTGCTGAGGGGGTGGGAGCGCTCCAGAATGGTTTGTTTGTGAAAGTTCCTGTTTCCTTCGCCTGTGGATTTAAAGCGAGCTTCAGTTTGGCCAGGGCAGCTGCCTTGCCCTGCTGGACACGGCATGGTGGGAACTCTGTGCTCACTGTGGGAATAGAGTTTTATCTTCGTGCATGTGTATTGTAATCTTTTGCATGCATAAGTTTTTAAAGGGCATTCCTTTTCTGCCTTGAAGTGCTTCCAGTTCAGCTCTACATCTTGTGTGAACAACTCTTTGATAGCCTTCCAGAAAAAACTGATTATAGGAAAGGCTCTCTATTACCTCTTCATTGTTGTATCGCTGTATGTTTTAATCATATGTGTCTATTATCAGGTAACTTCTATCTCATTTGCAGTAGCATTTGAATGTCGGTACAGTTTAGATGCATGCAGCAAATACAGCTGCACATCTAAACTCATCTAAACTGCTGAACCCCTCTGCAAAGAGTGGCTTTGTAAAGTATGGGGTATTTCCATGTGCTGGTACAACGGAATATTTTTTCTTCTAAAATGCCGCTTCTTTCTTTGACCGTGTTACCTGACTGCTGGTTTTGTTTCTGTGAAGATGGCAAGCCCATGCTGCGCCAGGGGGACACAGGAGACTGGATTGGCACATTTCTGGGTCACAAAGGGGCTGTTTGGGGCGCCACCCTGAACACGGATGCCACTAAAGCAGCTACAGCAGCGGCAGATTTCACGGCGTAAGTGATACACTGTTGTCTTGGTCTGTGTTTTGATTTTATTCTGTAGCTCTTTGGTGACAACAATATGCGCTAAATTACTGAGTAATTTGTTTCTCTTTAGTAACTGTTAGCTTATTTTGGGCTAGCCAAATTAAAACCTAGATTTTTGCCTTCTTGAAAGTAGCTGCAGTTAATTGTGTCACGCTGAACAACGATGGTTGCTTCTTGATGTGCTTAATTATACTGGTTTACTCAACTTTTCTGTGCAGCTCTAATCTCTGGCACTGTAGTTATAGCAGAGCTGTATTTTTATTTTTCATCTAGCAGTTAGCCTCGTTTTATGACATGAAACTTCTAGTGAATTAGTTCTTCAATTTTTTTGTTTTTTGTGCTGTTTATAGTATTAATGAATATTTTGCAAGTTGCATCTTGTTAGTAGAGGGCAAATTTTATTAATGAAGTTGCAGAGAAGAGACCCTTTTATCTTTAAACTAAAATGTTAATTGGTTTGCATGGTCCTGAAGAAGACCATAAAGGAAAGTGGTGGGATGGCCCAAAAAAAGCTCTAGTATAAATATATAAAACATTCTTATTGACTAACTAGGTTACAGCTTATAAGAACATAGCACTTAGGATAAAATGATGTATCAGGAAAGATTGCTTACAAATTCATCTGACTGTCCAGGCTGATTTTTACTGCTGCTTCTAAAATATGAATATTTCCTCTTGCTGTTTAGCAAAGTGTGGGATGCTGTGTCAGGCGATGAACTAATCACACTGGCTCACAAACACATTGTCAAAAGTGTGGATTTTACACAGGTATGAGAAACTTTTATACCTTATTCACCAGGGAAATAAGCTCTTGAGTATGTTTTGCTATTACTTACTTTTTGCTTTTTTGTTGTAAATCTTAACAGGTAAATAATCTAAAATACTGCTGCTCATTTTTAGGATTGTAGGGTTAATGTAACAAGTGTGTTAGAGGCTGTCTGAGAGAAAAAGCTGTGATTTTAACTCACAGACAAAGGCTGTGTTTTGGTTCAAAGTAGAGTTGACTCTCTATAACTTCTGTTTCAGGATAGCAATTATCTGTTAACAGGTGGACAAGATAAGCTCTTGCGTATCTACGACTTGAGCAAGCCAGAAGCAGGTGGGTCTGCTTTTCAAACTGACTCTTGGGGGGCTTTTTTGAGTTCAATAAAACTGCTGAAATTAAGGGACTGCTTTCTGTTAGGAATCACTAAGAACAATGTTGAGGGTTCTTTTACAAATGTAATGTCTGTAAGCTTTTGGTATATAAGGGTCCCAGAATTGCTTGGTTGGAGATCACCTGGTTCCAAACCCTCTTCTATGGACTGATTAAAGCCCCATCCAAACCCTTTGCACACTTCCAGGAATGAGACATCATGCAGAGCATGTTTCAGTTCAGTGCAAACACACTAGAAATTGGACTAATTAATTAAAATTTAGTCATCTGAGAGAAAAAACAATGCCAATATTTAAGAGTATTTAAGGTCATGTTGATACTGACCTTTTGATGGTTGATAGGAGGCCAGAGAACATCGATGTTCACCTAGTGAAATTTTTGAAAGGCAATCAGAAACCCAGTTTGCATTTATCCTGTTCCTGGAATAAGATCTACAAATAAAGTCCTAAGTGCTTGAAGTAATTCTACAGTCTCTAGTAGAGGGAAATCTGTGTAGCTTGACATTATTTCATTTTATTACATGTATTAAAATATTTGGCTTTCTTTTAAGAACCTGATGTTGTCAGTGGACATACTTCTGGCATTAAAAAGGCCTTGTGGAGCAGTGATGACAAACAGATTCTTTCAGCTGATGATAAAACTGTCCGGTAAGAAAAGTAACTTTGGGTTTTCTGTATTGTCATGCTCTGTGTGAGGATGAAGTTATGTTATTTTGGAAAAGGATACAAGTAAGACAGGTTACCTGATCCTAGATTATTGTAGCTGCAGGCCTGATACAGTTCTGTTCTGCTATCAGAGATCATTTTGGTAATAGTTCTGATTTCCCCATAAATGTGTGCTCCTCATAGATGTGTTCTCCCTGGTAAGAAGTGGTCTTTGATAACTGCATGGAATAAATGGATGCCTTTTGTAATCCTGAAGAAGAAGAATTTATAGATGAGGTCTCTTGCATACGCACTGTCCTGAGCAATTCTGCTTTGCCTTTTTCACTTTCCTAGTGTTAAAGATAGGCTAGACCTGTTTGTTTTCCTCCAGATTGTAGGAATAGAAATGCAGCAGTCAGCTAATGAATAAAGATTTTTATTTGTCACAGCAGTACCATTTAATTTCTGCTTAGATATTTCTATACTGCTAGATATAAAACTTTATTATCCTCAATGAACCTCTGTAAATTGGGATTAGTACCTCTTTGTCTTTTGAAATAAAAAGACAGAATAGAATCTTCAAGCCTTGCTTCAAAGTCTGTTGCTTAGAAGACTTAAATCAAGATTTTTAATCTCCAGGAGAATCACTGAGTAGTTATAGTGTATATACCATTTAATGTTGTGGCATTAAGCTGCAAAGGTAAAAGTATTTTAAATAAGAGAATGTGTTAAGCCTGGCCTAGGTGAAATAAATGCAGATAAAGCCATGGAAGATCTGAAATACTTGTGGAATAAAACGACATTGCTTGATGGGTGCCTGTTTTGATGCAGGTCTTGCCATGGATGTGAGGTGGAAATTGTTTGATTTATGGAAGTTTGAGTCTTTTTTTTCCCTTTTTGTTTCCTTTTAAGCCTCTGGGACCGGAGTACCATGACTGAGGTGAAGTCACTAAATGTGGCAATGTCAGTGAGCAGCATGGAGTATGTTCCAGAAGGACAGATACTGGTGATAACCTATGGGAAGACTATTGCTTTTCATAGTGCAGAAACGTGAGTCCACAACTCCCAATTTTCACAGGTGTAGTCATGGGTGTCTTGTGGGTAAAAACTGGCTGTGCAAGGCCAGAGTCACCAAGCTGTCAGAACTGGCATTTCTATGATGTTTCAAGAAAGGAAGTTACATGCTTAAACATATTCCAGAAAGTAGTTCTATATGTGTGAGCTTTTATTTTGCTTACTCTAAACTCATTTCTAACTTGACAAGCATGATTTGCAAGTATCAAAACTTGTTTCAGAAACTCTGTGGGGTTGTATTTAATTTCTGGGAAAAGCAGTTGAGATTAGTAGAATCCAATTTCTTTGCTCTCAGGATATTTTTTTTAAATATGAACTTTGTTAACAAACTTTTCTCCCTCAGTCTAGAGCAGATTAAATCATTTGAAGCACCTGCTACAATCAATTCTGCATCTCTTCACCCTGCGAAAGAATGTTTGGTTGCAGGTGGTGAAGATTTTAAACTCTATAAATATGACTATAATACAGGAGAAGAATTAGGTATGTTTGTCTCCTATAATCATAAAGAGTTCTGAAATAGGTGTTAATAAAATAATGAGCAGTAAATGAAACTGTATTCAAATGAGGTCTTAGCAGAACATGCTATGTAAGAGGATGATAAAGAGTTATGAGTTAAACATTTTTTGCTATCTCAGATATTCTAGAGCTATTTAAAACATCCATTCAACAATTCTGCCTCTATTTAAAAACAAATTCTCATTCTGTATTGCTATAATAGCTGTAAGCTAAATTGTCATACTGTTCATTAGATATATCCATTATAAGAATTTATGAAAAATATGATGTGTTAGCCAAATTTGTTCTGGAAAAAAACCATTTGCTTACTGATCCAGTCCTCATTTAAAATTGTTTGTTTGTGGAAGGAGTGGTTGAAGAAACAGAGCATGTGTACACTGTGCTGCTGGCTTGCTTTGCAGTTTTGTCTAGAATAACTAAGCACCTTTTTCCTTGCAGTTAATGAAGCATTAATATCTTAATTATTAAATGCCTAAAGTAGCCATTGCTGACACACCCATTCATTCATGGAAACTGTTTTGTATCAGAAACTGATCGGTTTGTACTTAAATTTCAGTTGTTGGCTGAAATTTGACATTGACAGTGTTGAAATGTTCCCTTCAGAATCTTACAAAGGGCACTTTGGTCCCATTCACTGCGTGAGATTTAGCCCCGACGGAGAGTTATATGCAAGTGGCTCTGAGGATGGAACACTAAGGCTGTGGCAGACAACAGTAGGGAAAACCTATGGCCTTTGGAAGTGTGTAGTTCCTGGTAAGTGTGGGCTGGCTCCTGGGGAAACGTGGCAACTCTTTGTGCACCTTTGAAGTCTATCATGAGTGATAAATACTGAGTTTCATACAGTGACTCCTCTGTTCTGAGGGTTTCTGATCATGTCTGTTAGGTTGAAGGATGTACTTCTGCAGCTGTTGTGTAAGCAGTTAACATCACACCCATAAGCTTTTGAATGTAGACACTTTGTGGGTATTTAAGCCAAGAGCCTGATGTATTTTTGTGTTAAAGAGTGAGAAATATGTGATACCACTTCTATAATTCTCTCCTCTAGAAAGAGGTGTGGATGGTAGTTTTAATTTGTATTGTACTCTGGTTCTTTCTGCTTGGAGAGAGGGAGGCAGCAACAACATGTGGATATTCATTAATAGAATTGCTTGCTCAAGTGTTTTCCCTCAACACTGAATTACATGGAAATTACCTTTTTTTTTAATTAAGGTGGGTGGGTGGAACTGAAGGTATTGACTGTTTTTCTGCTCTTTCTCTACAGAAGAGGAGAATGCAGAAGCAGCAAAAGCAAGGACTACCCTTCCAGGAACTGCAGAGGAGGAAATAGGTAATGAACTGAACTGTCAGCTTCAACTGCCTCAGTGTTAAAAGAGAGTCAAGATAATAGCATTCCTTAGTATGGAAGAAGTACTTTCCCTCAAGTGCTTTCTGGTATTTTTCAAAAGATCTTTGAATGCATTTGCCTGACGTTGATTATGTGGCAAGTGTCAGACTGGAGCTGTGCAGGCAGAACAGATGGGGTCAGGTTGAATGGGAAAACAAACTGAACTGGGCTCCTTAAGCAATCCCTGCAACATTTCTTTGGTTTCTATATCTAAAGTGAAATTAAATAACACCTTTTTTATTTAGTTGCAGAAGAGATCGCCTCTGAAAACTCAGATACAGTGTACAGCTCAACTCCTGAAGTGAAAGCCTGATTACTGCAGCTGTTATGTGACACGTGGACATGCGAGACTAAATCAAGTGAGCAGTGACAGACAGCAGCCTTCCAGAGTGCGCTCCCTCCCTGGGGCAAAGATGGGCAGTAATTGATGAGAATGCAGTGGAACTGGCTAGGTGTTGTCTGTAAGAGAACTCAGCATCCAAATAAAAACCCAAAAGACAAGTAGTAGAGTTCTGCTGGCTTTTTGGCATAACTGCCTACTGTCTTTTCAAAGAAGTGTGCAAGCCAAGATCCAGTCTCTCCAATCTCAATTAGACTCATTGTAGTGTGTTTTCATTATTACAAAGAAGAGATACAATGGCTTTTACCTTTTTTTTTTTTTTCTTGGAAGTTGGAAGAATTGGCTCTAGTTGAAAAGAAGGGATTATGTACTTAAAAGTATTTGGTTCGGGTTTCGTTTCATTGTATGCTGCTTCTGAATGTTTAACTGTTTTCAGTTGTCTAAATAAAAAGCCTCTCCAAACTCGTACGTTACTTTTGAGCGTTGGGTTCATGAAATGGAAAAGCAACTGCATTAATCACGTAATCCTTGGCATCTTGGGTTTGTACTATACAGAGAAAAAGCAAAAGAATGTTTTAGTGTTGGTACAGAGGGTGGCAAGTTCTTTGATCTGTAAGCTTTGTATCTTTTTTATTCTTTCAAGTTTGAATGTAAACATGAGTCTCTAAAAAGAAAAACAGTGAGAATTCCTAAATTAAACCTGCTGCCTAAAGTATTTGGTTGTACATGAAAATATCAGAGGCTGGCTGCAAATCTGTGTAAAGCTTGGGTTTAGTCCTCCAGACTGGATAAAAAAGTTACTCTTTCAAGGTTACAAATCATATTTTCTTCATTAAAGAAAATAATTGCCATTCTTCCACTTGTCATTTCCTTTAATGTTATGCTGAAAGCTGTACATAATGCATTCTGTGAGGTGTATTTATTCACATACCTTTTTCTTTTCATATTCATACCTGTCCTTACTGTCCTGCTTTTGCAGACTATACGTATTTGCAATTACCTGTTTGAATTTTATTCTAAAAACAAACAGCTCTGATTTACAGCTAAATGGTTCAGTCTTGCCAATTCCACTAAGGCTTATGAGGACTCCATATCTAGTACTGAGCATAAAAATTTTAATTTAGAAATTGGATGTGTTTAAAATGAGCGTTTTTGAACACCTTGTTCCATGGAGAAACTTCTTGCATGCTGTGAGTTTTATTTTGTATTTGCAGTAGGTTCTATAGCATTTCATAGATCTGGAATAGAATCTCACAATCATTTAACTGAGGAAAAAAACTTTTAACCCTAAGTTCAGCTGTTAACCTAGTTGTTCCCAAGTACACCATAATGGCATGTCCCTCATTCTGCATTTATGGCTTGCTCTGGGATGCATAAAAATTAAACAGATAATAGTCATAGAAACTTAATACTTAGTAATGGCTACTAAAATACTGGAGGAAATGAAAAAAACCCAACAAAACTGAAGTACTGTTATGAAAATTCTTTGAAAAATCACCAGTAAGGGTACCAGCAAAACCCAGATTTAATATTAAACAACAGGACAACAAAGTTCATTGGCAAGATTCACTCTACTACTTACAGGACAGTTTAGGCACGCCAAGGAAAAACAAGCAACAACAAAACAAAAAAAAATCCAGGCAGTCAAAACAGAAATTAACTGAGTACTGTTAAGAGGGATATGTGTGTGTGTTTAAGTGGCAAAAGGATAGCGAGGGTGAGGATAAAATAAATAAGCTTCTAGGCTTTACCAGCACTCAACCCTAACAGTAATGTTAACTTCTACCTTAAACCTAACAATTTAACAGGAACAGCACTTAACTTAAACCCAACTTAAAAATTTACCATAACAATTTAACAGAGGAATAATCCCTAACAGCATTCAACCTAATTTAGGACTTAACCTTACTTACAAGCCCAAATTACTTAGATATCTAAGGTAACAGTGTTTCATCTCCGACACAGTTAGAAAGTGTGAAAGTGTGGGAACAGGGACATTGTGCCGTTCTGGCAAGAAAAATAATTTCCAAGGCTGTTGCGAAAGAAAACAAGAGCTCCCTAGACAGCAGCAGTTCCTGGAAGCAGACAGTGTTTCTGATGAGCACGAGAGGAGCTGAGCCCAGTGCTGTTTGTCAAGGCCAAGGCATCACAAGTGTTTTGTAGATGACAAGTGTGGCCTGGAAAAGGAGGAGGAGGGTGCACCGCCACAAGTACTTGAAAACTTGTAATTTTTGGACTGCTAAAGTACACAGTGCAAATGGTATCTATACTTCTAGTGTGACTGCTGTCTTTCAAACAATTGCTTCTCAAAGCACACATGCAGTTTTGGTATGGGAAAAGCAAAAAGGAAAAGTGTCCTCATGTTTCAGAGCTATGGCCCTTTCCTGCTTTACCCGATGCCGTGGTGAGTTTGAGGTTTCTTTCAGTTGCAAAATGTTGCACCTAAACGTCAGTATTAACTATGTACAATATAAACAATGTATTTTTCATGAAACTGTGGATTTTTTCCAGATCTGGAAAAAACGCAAAGGCTATGAAGTTTTCAGTGGCTTTGTCACCAGGATTTCATTCTATGGGTACCACTAGAAGTTTTACAGGTTGGCAGGTTTGTTAACCCCGTGTGTACGTGTGGCACCAGCTCCTCCTTGAACCAACACAAAGACACTGGACAGTGCTTTGACTCATCCCCAAGAGCAGGTTCGGCGTTTCCAAAGGAGCGGAATATCCCTGAGGAAAGGAACATGCCCGCAGCAGCAGGGCCGAGGCGCGGCCGAGCCGGCCCGGCGCGGTCCCCACGTGGCGGCGGCGGAGCTCCGCGCCCGGCCCGGCCCCGCCGCTTCCTGCCCGAGCGGGGCGGGCCCGCAGCCTGCCCGGAGCTCCGGGGGCGGACAGCGGGGCCATGGCCGGCCGGAACCCGGGCACCGAGCTGGGTAAGGGGGCGGCGGGGCCGCGGGTCCCCGGTGGGCGCTGCGGAGGCCCGGGCGGAGCGGGGCGGTGCCGGGCCCCGGCTCCTCGAACCCGGCCGAGCCTCCCCCGGGCGGCTGCGGGACCGCGTTCCTCTGAAAAGCCGAAATAGGAACAGCCCTGGGGTTCTGTGGGTGTTCTGACACATCCCGTGACGGGGAACAGGGAGGAGGTTTTGAGACTGCGGGTTAAACGCGAGTTTCCGTGTCACACATGGCTTTGGCTTCGGGTTTCCGAGCAGGATCAGAGATTGTAGGACAGCTCTGAGCCCTGGTCGAGTCCCTGCAGGGTCAGAGGTTGCAGGACAGCTCTGTATCCTCGGTCCTGTTACAAAGCAGGACTTGCAGGGTCAGAGGTTGCAGGACAGCTCTGTATCCCTGGTCCTGTCACAAATCTGGACCTGCAGGATCGGAGGTTGTAGGACAGCCCCACAGCCCTGGTCCTGTTACAAAGCCGGACCTGGTTCTCTCCTGCACACCGTTCTGGTTCTCACAGGATTCTTCCTCTCCTCTTTCCCACCAAGAGATTAAAAGCACTGAATTTGGGCTCTGATTTGCAAACTCGAGACTCCACCTCCTCTGATCGTTCTTGTTGCTCACTCTCTGGGGAGTGGTAAGGATTTTCCAGGTGTTTGCAGCTGGTCTCTGGGCCTGAAAGGTGGCTGTGCCTGAGATAAGGCAGAGAAAGGCTTTCTCTGCCTTTTCCTGGCTGGAGCTGCCTTTCTCCTCATTGCTGGGGAAGGGCAAAGTGCTACAGCTTCCTCAGCAAAACCCAGCTGCAGCAGTGGGATGGATTGAAACAGTGAGACTTCCTCCAAGATGTGATAATTTGGTCATTATGAATAGGTGGACAATGAAGTGGAGGAGACACAGGGGTGGCCTCATGGAAGAAGGGGAGCAAAGGCCAGCTGGTGTGGAACAGGCAGGTCTCACAGCTGGCACGAGCAGAGTTCAGGAGATTGTGCCATCACGTGCCTGTCATGACAACAAGCACAGGCACTTTTAAATGATTAGCCTGCGCATGGACAAGTGAGAGCTGTGTTTCCATTCACTGAAATTGTGGAAATGTTGCAGCCTTCAAAAGTGAGCTGTCTAATTTCTTTTTTATGTCCTCTTTGATAGGCTGCTTGTAGGGACAGATGAGTTTCAGCTGCAGTCAATTGAAGAGCTGAAACAAACATTAATAATGTAGTTGACAAAACATCACTGTTAGGAAAAACAGCTAGCACAAAAGCCTGCAAATACACCCCAGTTACTTTAAACTAGGGGTGTGTCCTGCTTTTTCTTAGTAAATTCAATCCTAAAGTTAGTTGATGTGTGGGGCATCCAGAAACTTGAAGGTGAAATCAGCTCAGTTCTGATATTTGTTGACATCCCTTCCCAGGGATCTTTGTTTAAATCAGTTGTGGTCAAAATGAACTGTGTTAGATATTCAGGGCAGGGGTAGAAAAGGCAATGGTGTGGCTGTCACCATGTTTAAGTGGCAACTTCTAGCATCTGCCTTATGCTGGCTGCTTTAAAGAGAGAACTGTACTTCCCTCTAAATACATATCTGAAATACAGCAGTGTACTAAATACAACACTTAACATATCTTAGTGCTGCCTTAGCTGGTAGCAGTACTCAGAAAGAACAGGCTAAACCCTTACCTTTATCTTTCATGGTTGTTAGCAATACTCACTGCTTCTGTCACTTAGGCACTTCAGATTTTGAAGGTTTTACAAGCCTGTGCCAGCAGCTTTAACACTAATTCAGGTGATTTGTCCTGTTTCCCACACAGCTTTGTGCAAAATTAGAGTTTTCTAACAGGGACATCTAGTGGTAAAATGTATTTTACTTAAAAATAAATTGTTTGTGTCCTTTTTTGTGTCTGTGCTTGCTACATAATGTCAGTATCAAAGCAGGAGATCTCTGATGTTACCATTAGAGAGGGTCTATTTGTTTACTATTGACAAGCCAAACTTCACCAATCATGGCATGTAGTGCTTTCCTGTGTGATTTTTTAAAAAAATAAATACATTGGTGTAAAATTCCTTGATTCTTCCCTCCTTATCTCCTTCCCTTGTATCCATCACTGTGCCTTAGTAGAAGAAGGTTTTTCCTTGGAATGAAGAACAGTGCACGTTCCACAGATGAAAAGACCCTGATGTGCACAGTCAGAGGCTCACCAGCCTCATGCACTGATACATTTGCCATCCAAGAGTGGTGCAAAGAAGCTGGACAAAGAGTTTTACAAGTTTTCCATTCCACAAGGACTGTTTGCAGAGTTTTTGTGCTGGGGTTCACCATGATGCCTGCAGGGATGGGAATGAATCTGCCTCTCGTGCTCTGCTCTGGGGGGCCCTGGGTTATAACAGCGCAGATGTTTAATGTTTTGTCATGCTTCAGAAGAGTATCAGATGTAATTTTTAACATCACTTCACAATGAAATATTAGAACATATCAGTGAGTATCTGTTTTGGAAATGCCAGCTGCTTTGGTTTAACTGTGGGGTGCAGACACCTGGGGACAC